GATTAATATAGCGTGTGTCCAGGAGACTAGGTGGGTCGGATCGAGGGCGAAAAATGTGGATGGGTATAAGTTGTGGTACTCTGGTGTCCTGAGGGGTAAGAATGAAGTGGGTATCCTGGTAGATAGTCATCTTAGAGAGGCCGTGGTAGAGGTCAGGTGGGTGAATGATAGACTAATGACTATTAAGTTGGTGGTGGGTGAGGGTACTTTAAATGTCGTTAGCGCGTACGCACCGCAAGCAGGCTTGGATGAGGATATCAAAAGGCGCTTTTAGGAGGGGTTGGATGAGATTGTTCATAGTATACCGCCTTCTGAGAGGTTATTCATAGAAGGAGATTTCAATGGTCATATTGGGTCATCTGCAGGTGGGTACACTGAGGTGCATGGCGGCTTTGGTTTCGGGGAGCGGAACGAAGGGGGTATTTTGCTGTTGGACTTTGCCAAGGCTTTCGATCTAGTCATTGCGAACCCGAGTTTTACGAAGCGGGATGAATATTTGGTTACTTACCAAAGTTCGGTGGCGAAGACTCAGATTGACTATCTCCTCCTCAGGAGATGCGACAGGAGGTTGTGCGAGGACTGCAAGGTTATCCCAGGTGAGACCTTGTCGACACAGCATAGGCTTTTGGTGATGGACATTTGTATTAGGATAAGGAGGAAGCAGAGGTCAGTACAAGGACACCCCATGATTAGGTGGGGCGCCTTAACTAAGGATAAAGTTAAGGAGTTGGAAGGAAGGTTATCGACAATGGGAGCTTGGAGAAGCAGTGGGGACGCAAACACAATGTGTTCGACGACGGCGGACTGTATAAGAAAGGCGGCGAGAGAGGTATTAGGGATATCTACGGGCCACAATGGTGGCCACAAAGGAGATTGGTGGTGGAATGCAGTTGTCCAAGGTAAAGTGGAAGCAAAGAAGGCGGCTTACCTGCGGTTAGTAGGGAACACTGACAAGGAGGAGAAGAGAGAGAACAGTCAAAGGTATAAGGTAGCTAGGAAGGAGGCGAAGATGGCAGTGACGGAGGATAAAACGACAGCTTTTGCTCATCTGTATGAGGAACTNGGAGCTAAGACTCGGGTTAGGACAGTAGGAGGCGACTCTGAACACTTTCCAGTTATTACGGGTTGCACCAAGGGTCTGCGCTCAGCTCATTCCTATTTGCTCTGGTGATGGATGCACTGACTCATCATATTCAAGGGGAGGTGCCATGGTGCATGCTATTTGCTGATGACATTATTCTAATTGACGAGACACGAGGCGGCGTCAACGAGAGGCTAGAGATTTGGAGACATGCTCTTGAGTCTAAAGGTTTCAAGTTGAGCAGGACGAAGACGGAATACCTCGAGTGCAAATTTGGAGTTGAGCCGACGGAAGCGGGAGTTGAAGTGAGGCTTGACTCTCAAGTCATTCCCAAGAGGGGTAGTTTCAAGTACCTTGGATCGGTTATTCAGGGGATCGGGGAGATTGACGAGGATGTCACACACCGTATAGGGGTGGGGTGAATGAAGTGGAAGTTAGCGTCGGGAGTCTTGTGTGACAAAAAAGTGCCACCATTACTAAAAGGTAAGTTTTATAGAGCATTGGTTAGGCCTGCCATGTTATATGGAACTGAATGTTGGCCGGTAAAGAACTCACATATCCAGAAGATGAAAGTAGCAGAGATGAGGATGTTGAGGTGGATGTGCGGGCATACAAGGATGGATAAGATTAGGAATGAAGATATTCGAGAGAAGGTGGGCGTGGCCCCCATGGAGGACAAGATGCGGGAAGTAAGACTCAGATGGATCGGGCACATTCAGAGGAGGAGCAATGATGTACCGGTGAGGAGGTGTGAGCGACTGGCTGTAGTGGGCATGCGGAGAGGTAGAGGGCGACTTAAGAAGTATTGGGGAGAGGTGATCAGACAGGACATGACGCGACTTAGGATTACGGAGGACATGGCCCTTGACAGGGAATTATGGAGGTCGAGCATTAAAGTTGTAGGTTAGAGAAAAGTTGTGAATATTTCTACAACACAATAGAGTGAGACTAGCCAGTTAGGAGTTGGACTAAGAATGTCATTGGTCGGCTATTGATATAGGGCTTTACCTGCTAGTTTTACTATACCAGCCATCTATTTCGTATTTCGTATTCTGTATTTCATATCTCTTATATTGCTGTTATTTTATTATGCATTTTTATGGCACTAATATATCGGCTTCTGTTGCTTTTTTGAGCCGAGAGTCTCTTGGAAACAGCCTCTCTACCCTTCGGGGTAGGGGTAAGGTCTGCGTACATATTACCCTCCCCAGATCCCACTTGTGGGATTATACTGGGTCGTTGTTGTTGTTGTTGTTGTATATCATGTTTCAGAACTATTTATGGTATTAACTATTTAAAAGAGGTGTTCGGTTTTGGCCTGGCTGACCTTGTCTTCACGAGAGACGCCATCACGACCAGGTTCGGGGTTAGGGTCGTGACACTAATTGATAGTTTTTATAGCGACTTTTAAGTGTAACAATGAGTATATATAAAGAAAAAATTGGTATGCCGTGAAATATTTTATTTTAAAATGTAAACAAATTATTTCGGAAAAACTCTTTACTTTTTTTAATTCAAAGATAATAAAAAGATAAAATATTTTTGAACATTAGTAGAGAGTTTTAAAATTATTATAATAGAAGTTATATCATAGATAAACTCAAAAAACCGAATTTTATAGAGTATTTACATAATATTCGGCCATATTTATTGTTTACTTTTTATAGCTAATTTAAATAGATGATATACTGACAATACACGATTATACACATATTATATATGGATTATATATAAATTATACATCATTCAATTTTTTAATTTAAGTGGTCGGTGAGCACCTATTTAGGCTGATTAGATAAAGCCAGAAGAAAAATATGAAATAATTTCAACCAAAGACTAAAAATATAATTAAATTTCATATGTAGATAATTTTTATTAAAACTCATCCTTTTATAGTGAAATAAATTAATTTTTTGTAACAAAAGAAATAATGACATAAAAATAAGATAAAAGAAAATAAATATTGAAAAAAAATGTTAGAAAGATCTAAAAACCAGAAATAAAAGATGACAACAAATTTCTTCTTATGTTTCATCTTTGTTGAGTATAAAATTTTTGAAAGTTAATCTCATCGATTTTAATTTTTTTTCCAACTCAAATACATAGATTATAAGATAAGGATATCTTAGAATATTTTTTTAATTTATATTTGTGTTATTTTTAAAAAATCACTATTACTGACAAACTGATATTATATTCAAATTTGAATTGGAATGCAATTTGAGTAGTTTGCATTGAGGTTAAGCCAAGTATGATGTCGAAAAATAAACTACTTGACAATTTCAAGACAATATATGCAATGTTTTATAATAATAATAATCAACTAATTTAACATTTAATGATTCAAAGAACAAAATTTGTGTGTATATAGGGTATTAAAAATTCAAATTGTGGGGCTAGAGATATCAATAAACTTAAAGTGGAGTCATACTGAAATAAATCCAGCCAAAAAATCATTTAAATTTTTAGATAGCCGATTAAAGTGAATTTTAAATTAAGGATAATATCTTTACTTGCATCATTATAAAGATAATCATTATGATAATATATATAAAGTTTTAGAAATTGAAATTTCAAAATAGAAATACTTTTTTGAAAGATAAAATCATACCAAATAAGGGTTCAAGTCGTAATCAAAGAATCGTTTATATCGTGTCAACCTTTGTGCTTTGCCATAAATATGAGTTATCATTTCACTTTGTGGCTATTTTGAGGTTCCAATGACACCTACGAGAATAGTGCAAAAATACAATTATCACTACTAAAATTGAGAAAATATTAGTCTTTTTTCATGTAGTGTTTCTTAATTAATATCTGACGATTATCTATAATTATTTAGAAGGTTTAAATGTTAAGGTTATTTACATATAATTCAAATAACTCAGATATTTAGCATGGTTAATGTCAAATATCAAAATGGAGTAAAAACAATTCACTAGCTAAAGAATTTTTTATATTTTTAGATAGCCAACTAAAATGAGTTTTGAATTAAGAATAATATTTTCAATTGCATTATTATAAAAATATATATTATTGAAAAATAATGTTTTAGAATCTTAAATTTTAAGAAAGAAATATTTTTAAGAGATATCAACACACCAAATATGAGTTCAAGTAGTAGTAAAAGAATTAAATCTTATTCAAAGATTCATTCATTGTCTCAATATTTGATTATTTTGCCATAAATATGAGTTATTATTTTGCTTTCAGACTATTTTTATGATCCAATAACACCGACAAGAATGATATCAAAAAAGAAAAATAGAAGAAATAGTTAATTTTTTTTCATGTAGTTAACATCCAATGATTATCTATATTTACTGAGAAAGTGTACATTTTAAGATTATTTACATACAATCCAAATAATTTAAATATTTGAATTACTAGTTAAAAAGAAAAAGAAAATAAATGTACATGAAAAAAGATAGATCTACATAATAGGTCCGGCCCTCGTCCCTCGAACCAGATGTCTAGATCGAAGAAATTAAAACGGGAAAATAAATAAATAAATAAATAAATTAAAAGCAGAGCAAAATTCTAGTGATTCTTCTTCAGTGCTTCAAAGAAACTTGAGAAATAACTTTATCCAACCAATAAAATTTGGAAGCTTCAGAAAAATGTATGGGTGAATATAATGACCAAATATATTTCCAAAATAGCTTATCTCCGGGAACAGTTTCATTTTCTAGATTTTTCTATTTATGTAGTTGTGCTATTTCTCTCTAGGGTTTTCTTATCTGTCGTCATTCCGAAAGGTACAAAGTCTCTTCCTTTTCCGCTCTTTCTTATTGGTTGACATTTTTGTTCAATTAGCCTTCTTGAATTTATTGGGTTAATCCCGCAATTTTTAGATTGTTCTATTTAAATCTTTTACTATATGCTTATCTTTCTTGCCTCTTGGGTAGGTGGGTTTTTTTCATTTTTTTAAAAATTATTTTTGGTAATTGCGTTAGGAAAAAATGGTTACTTTTGTGAAAGATGAGATTTTTATCTGAGTATTGACTTGGCGGAATGGATATAGAAGATTCATGTAGCCAGACTCTTAAGTAATTTGGTATTGAGGTGGAGTTGAGTGATGGACTTAATGAGAAAGTTTCATTCTTTGGAAGCCTCTTAAGAGAATACATTTTCATGACCCATTTTTTACCCATTGCACAAATATAAACTGGTAGTTAAATTCATGCATTTGATCTATTTTTGGTATGTTTGCTGATTTAACCCTAGATTAGTGGATAACCTTGTCGTTTACTTCCCTCTCTTTTTGAAGGTTTTTGCTCATTGCATCGTTTTTTTGTGTGTTTGGTGAAGACTCAGGTTTTGGAACATTGAATAGATCTAGGGGATTGCATGGTAGTCGCTCCATGGAAACACATATTGATTTCGTGCAATGGCTTGACACTGACGTGTCTCTGAACATCCTGATGTGTTTGAAGGATCCAGCTGATGTGGTCCGTGCTGGCTCTGTTTCGCGCCTTTGGCACGAATTTGGTATGCTATTCAAGTTTTCGTTCTTACTTAAAAGCAGCCCGTTAGCATTGTGTTTAGGATGTGAGACTGAACTGGCATTCTTACTTTTTCATTATTATATTACGTCATTTATAGTGTTGTTAAGTTTCAAAAAATCCACAGATTCAGTTATCCTGTTTCCATTATGATGCTTTTCTACTGTTGTTTTACATACTTGGTGTACTTCATAGTGTTACATTATGTGATTACTGTGCTTAAAGACTCATTACTACTTTATTTGCATCTAGAGCTATTTTAAGCAATGAGGATCTATCTTCAATTTATGCCTTGAGAAATGATCCCGAATGAGTAAAAAATAAATGAAGCCTTGGAAAGAAGAAAGGAGAGACGATCCTCCAAAGAGTACAAGAATCTGAATCATAATTAGATTTCTTTGATTCAAGAAAATGTTACGAATGACTAATGATGCAAAATGAATTGATGTCTGAGAGGAGAAACACTCTATGATCTCTTGCGGTTCAAAAATTAAGGAAGCTTTGACTAAATAAATTAGTGCTTTTTGTTTCTACCCGATATTTACGATTATGATGTTGATGTCACCCCTAAAATGTTATACAATGGTGCGATAATATGATATATTTCCAAACTTGGGTGTGAAGTGCCTTAATATGCCTCTTTCTCTCACTTCTGTCCCTACTCTTTTAGATTTTAGAATCTTTATCTTGATCTTTAAAAGAAATTTTCATAAGTTCAGATTTCTAACAACCTGATGTGTAAGTGGGTAAGTCAGGAAAGAAATAAATATCACATAAGACCAAATTAATCACTCTTTATGCTGATTGTTGTTCCTTCCCATGGTTATGGTGTCAAAGGCACACCTCGAAACCGAGAATAAGCTGATTCGGATACGTTTTAATCCTGGCTGTGTGGAGCTAGTTGTATGTCTCTTTCCCATATATGTACAGTCTACAGTGTACCTTGTTGCCTTCTGTACTGTACATTCGAGACACTTGTCTCTGCATTTCAGAAAAAGATTGGAACAGTAAAGATCATCCTTCTGTAAGTAATTATACAAAAGAAAACCTTCATCTCAACGCTATGGACTTGATGAAAGTCTTAGGGAATAATTGTTCTAGGAAATAACTTTGACTACATAACGTTGTTGCCTGTTGCCTTTGTCTTTTCCATATTTCTTGGTTGGTCCAAGTTTAACTAGTTCAAGTACATTGTGCTGGTACGAGAATTTTGGGATGGTCTAGGTGAATTTGTGTCAAGACTTAGGTTAGAAGATGAAAGTATGAAATGATGACTTGCTTGGATTTGGTTTTAGTAGAATTTGTTCTGTGGTTGTGTCGTGATGGGAGAACTTTCACCAAAGCTCTAAACACTATTGAGGCTTTCATATGGTGAACTAAGCTTTAACCCAAGTGTACATACATCTTTAGATGCTATGAAATATATACCATTTCTTTTTGGCTGAAGGAAAATAGATATTTCACAATTTAAAATTTTAAAATAAAACCTTTTGGGGACAATGCATTTTTTCAAAAGCTGAAATGACAGGTTCAACTTTTGGGCATGCCTGGGGCCAATTGTTTGTTCCCCAACACTAAAAAGAAACATTAGTTAATCTTTTTATGCCCCCAGTAAAAGCAAGTGATTTGGCTTTGGACACAAGAACCACCGCCTGGTATAGATTACATTAATATAGTGATGATTAGCTAGAACTAGGAGTACCATACTTGACCTTTGCGCTTATCCTTGAATATTGTACCTGAACTATCTTGTTGAATGTAGCTTGCCAAGTTGCATTCTGTAAAACAGTTACCTAATTGTTGGTTTCTTGAACTCTTTTGTAAGTTACTAATGGAAAAATCATACTCTTTTCTTGTGCAAGTGGTGTGCAATGCAATTAGTTTATTTTGAAGTTGGAAGCTTATTTTCTGTACTTTGCGCTGCCGCAATCCGACTTTCCTGCCTTTTTGGCTTGACAACGTGCATCAATTCTAAGGATTTTCCAATCTCTTTCATAAAGAAAAGTTGCCTATATTAAGCCTTTCTTCGAGAAATCTTGACATGCCAGTTTCTGTCATTGAAGGTTTATTACCATTAGGAAGAAGAAAACAGGCTGATGATTTACTTGTTTATTTGCAGTGGTTACTAATGGACTCTCCAAGCAACTGTGTTTTGGAAGGTTTCCGCAGCTTTCCAGGATTGCCCGTGTAACAGAATTAGATGCGAGTGCAGCAGAACCAAAAGATGTTGGATCTAGCAATTCCAACTGGGAGACTCTAAAAAGAGATCATGAAGTCTACGCGTCTCTACTTCAAGCTATTGAAACATCAAAGTCATGTCGAAGTGATTGCATAGGTTATGCAGTCAGTGCTTCAAGCACGGACAATTATCCAGATGAAAGTATTGTCAATACTTTAATTCCAAGGGACAGATATCTAAATAGACCTTCATACTGGTCAAGTAAAGGACACAGTGACCCCAACGCCCCTGAGACGCTAATTTACAAATTGAAAGCTGATATATGTGTGATCAACGAAGTTGATACACAACCTTTTGAAGGTGTTTGTTAATCTTTCTTTGGGGCATTAGATGCCCCCTCAAATTTACAATCTGAGTTTCACATACTTCCGGAGCTTATTTGGTCCTCTTGTCTAATACGTAATTTTTCCAATTCAGCTTATTTCCAGCCCGGCAAGCCCATATACTCTGCAAAATCTGTTCGATTTCGGTTGGGGTATCCCAAATCCTCGAGAGATGAGAGTGATCTCCTGCAATTGCCCCAGCAACAGCCTGCTGATGACAAGTTTGTATGGACATATACTTCTGAAGAATTCCCTATGACACAGGTCTTGTTTTATAACTTCCTTTAGTTTTCTCCTGAAAAAGATACTCTTATTTACTCAGTTGTCTATGTTTTTGGTTGAGTAGTTTCCTGATGGTGGGAGTAGTAATATTTGTTCTGTTCAATATTGTTATAAGTAAAAACTAGTCAAAAAATTTCTCCAAGCCTTTGAACGGGGTGTCATAGACTAATTTGCATGAGAAGGAGAATTAACAGATCAAACTTCAATGGCCAGGAAAATTGCTTTCAGCGGTTCAATCTACCCGAGCCTGTGCTTTGCATTGGTGGATATATGCAGATTCAGCTTTTGGGCAGAGTTCAGAGACAAGAAATGGATGACTTGTTTTACATATGGTTCGTGTTCATCTTTTCTCTCTTTGATTGAAAGGTCTGCTTCACATTTGCTGTTCTATTTATTAATGAGTTGTTGTAGTGGACTTGCATGTGCATTACTAATAACGCTCTTGATGCCTGGACATACTAATGCATCAGGGGAAGAAGATGAAACTGACACATTTATAATAAAATAATGTTGTGAGAAAGGTAAGGTTTAATTTTAGTCATACTGTAGAACTGAGATCGTGCTTCTTTACAGAGTACATGACTTCACTAAAATATTGTTATTAGCTTTTAAGGAATTGATAAACTCCTTAAATGCATCTTACTATTCACAGATCAGTTCTACACCCAAAAAAAAAAGTAAACAAGAAGAGTGTAAAGTCTACATGGATATTCTTTCATCTTCTAAGCACTGGTTCCTATCCTCACTAGGACACATGATGCACAAAGGAATTGTGTGTCAAATGTCTTGTAGTTCCTTCTTCAGTTTCCTCACTTCCCAACTCCACAAGACTGCATTTTTTTTTTTTGAGATGAAGTGGTACTATAAATGGCATCAAGTAGATGCATAATAGCAGAAGTACAAAAGTGAGAGTTTGTTAGCTCTATTACAGTGAGACCTATGCTTAGGATAAAGAGCTAATAAAGTCCAAAAGTTTGACATGAGAATCTACAGGGGACAAACTATCCCAGCTACATGAATTTAAAAGATAACAAGCCTTAAGGGCGTGGTTTGGAGTTGGTATTTCCATCAAAACATCTTCTATTCCTCTCATTCCAAACACACCAAAAAAATACAAGAAGGAACCGTTTTCCAGACTTCTATGATGGATTTATCAACTTTCCAAGAGATCTAACTGTGTAGGCATCGTTGATACTGTTCGGCATGATCCATCTTAAACTAAAAACTGTGATGAACATGTGCCAAATATCAGTAGCTACTGTGCAATGTAGAAGGAGGTGTCTGTTAGTCTCTACATTCTGTTGGCACATTTAACATCTGTTAAAGGTGGGGGTGTTCCTTCTATCGAGATTGTCTTGAGTCAAACATGCGTCATGTAATGTTATTTAGCTGAAGCTTATCACCTTCTTAGTTCTTCAAATATGTTCCAAGGCCAAGTATCCAGCATTTCATTCTGCGCACATAATGATGAATATCCTGCCTTCACTGTGTACTGTCCATCTGTCTTTCCTTCCCATCTGATTCTGTCAGCAGAGCTCATTGATTGTTTAACTCCCCAATCTAGTAAGCATGCTAGTGAACTCTTCCAATTCCCAGTCTTGAAAGTTTCCTCTGAAGATAGGTGCCCTGGTGTTGTCTCTGTTCTGGGATTGGTAGAATTGGGGCCTTTTGAGACTGAAAAGAGAGCTGGGAACTCTTTCTGTAGTGTAGTATTAATCTGACTTTGCATGTTTTTATTGTTTGGGGAGGATCATCCTTAATATATTTTTCAGTAAATTATATTATTATTTCTTAATCACGACCCTTTTGGAAGTCAATATGGTAATTGAAGGCTCCCAGGAACTTGGTGTTCTTCAGATAGTGCAAAGCTGGAAGACTTGGTAATTCTATAACAATCACGAATGTTCTCTTATTCCATTTGTTTCTTTCGTATTAACAGAAAATACCATTTCTTATAAATGGTTTATTCTTGGGATGCCAAGTACGTACTTGTACTGTATTTACTTTTTCTGCTTGGTGTATCAAGTAGTAACTGGGAAGAAGGCTGGTTAGTTATCATTAATGTGATCTTGACAATATTTCATTCCTATGTGCAGTATTTGTCATGTGAAAGTTGTAGGGCGACCTCTCAGCCCTGCATTCGACATAGAGGTCCTAGAACCATCTCGAGAATTTGTACTGAAGTACAATCGAGATGTTTTCGGTTGCATGTTGCAGAGCATGACTAATGGAGGTCATCAAGAATCAAATATGCCTCCAACACCATCAGAGGGATTTGTGCTTGATGCAGGCCTTCTGGAGTATTTATTACAGGGTTACCAGCCGGGTGTTGAACCTGTGGAATGGGACGAGGACGATGATGATGAAATGGATGAAGCGGGAATTTTGTAATTTAGCATCGTCATTTTCTTTTCTTTTAGTTTCTTACATTTCTTTCAAAATAATTGATGTCCCCTCTCTTTGATGATCCTTTGGTTACGTAGTTTTGCAGCAGGTCTTTGTGTACTCAAAGCTTTAGAGGTGCATAAACCCTTGTAGATGAGACTGTATTACTGATGATCCGTTGTAGATGCTTGTATTAGGCTTTTGCATTTTTTACTATCACAAACATATATCAACGGAGAGTTGCACTAATGTGCATGCAAATGACATTTTCATTAGTGGGTTTCAACTTTTTGTTAAAAGATTTCACTGTATTTCGTTTGTTTCCTGTTTTCATTGGATTGAGTATCCAGAATCGAAGTCGGTACTCAATTTCTTAACTCATCTGATTGTTTACTGCTAATCATAGTGATTTTTAAATCATGATGAGCCGTTAATGATGATAAACTGGAAAACTCAAATATTATCAGCGCTTCCTGTTCGAATTAAAACTATCTTGAACTTATAAGAATACGAACTAATCTATATTCTAACTCATATAAATAATAGTAGTATATAAATTCGCTAGATAACTTGTGCCGAGGCGCTGGGAGGATTAGGTAATGGGCGTTGTCACACCTCCTTTTTGCGCGCCCGGTCTCGAAGGGTTAAATGCGCGAGGGAGTTTTTCCAATTTAAGTGACAATATTCGAAATGAGATTATTTATTTAATTCAGAGTCGCCACTTGGAAAAGGTTTGGCTTTTGGTGTCCCAAGTCACCGGTTTATCTTGAATCTCAAATCGAGGAAAATATTCGACTTTTCCAAATGANAAATTTTCGACTTTTCCAAATGAAGTCTGCGAACCAGAAATTCTAAGTAAGGAATTCTGTTGACCCGAGGGAAGGTGTTAGGCACCCTCGAATCCCGTGGTTCTAGCACGGTCGCTTAAATTGTTATAATGGCTAAATATCTGATTTAAATACATGTTGTGACTTATGTGCTTTTATTAAGTTTAAATCGCTTTTATTATTATCATTTATTTTTTATAGAATTTGCAACGTANGCAATCAATGCACCCGTAGTTGTTGACCATTTCGACTCCGTTGAGATTTGGATTCGGGTCACATCAATGCGCACCCGAGTTTAAGAATGTAATTTAATTAAGCCGCGCCTAAAGAGTCTAGCGCGTTATTATTTTTGTAGGAGGCCATGAAATTCACTAAAACGGCCTATCCTGAATTCTAAATAATTATTATGGTTACTTATTGAGGGCCCCGCAATTTTGCATTTTTTTTATTTGGCGAGGCTCGTCTCCATTTTAGAAAGGATATCCTAAAGTGACTACATTTCTAATGTGTTTGTCTCTAAAACTAGAAGGAAAAGGTACATGCTAATTTAATTATATGCTTTGGCCTAATCCGGATTCTTATCAACTTCTGATTAATTATTTACAAAGTGGAGAAAACATTATAATTCATGGAAAGAATGCTTTAATTTGACAAAGAGACTACATGCGAGCTGATGATATGCTATACTTGCATCCAAACGTTTCTTTAATTGAATTTCACTAGACTTATTTAGGCTAGATTAAGGGAATTAACTACTAGGCGTTATTACTGATAGGGATTCGAACGCGCTTCCATATACTGCCTAGCGGGTCCTGATAAAGGAAACTAGAAATAGAACAGAACATCAAAAAATGGAAGTACTCTATCGTATGCATATCATTATAGCTAACAGGAATCTGGTCAGTCGCTATGTCAATTATCTGTACATCCTGTGTACTGTACAATTACATACCTCGTAACAACAAACGACTATAAACTAAGACGCAAGAGACTAGAACTTAGTTAAGCATCAACTGATCTTTCCCTGCTATTGAAATTACAAACTAATCAATTATATAGAAAGAAATCAATTATGCCATGAGTATTACAACAGACATTTCAAATTCTCCAACTTTTCATTTCATGCTTTCAGATTGTTACAGTTACACCAACATGGGACTTGAAACATGTACCTGGATACTGAAATGCAAAGAAGAAGTGGAAGCAGAAGAGTCAGCGGCAGCAACACAAGAATGGTAGTAACAACAAAAGCATCACAGAAGCAATGACAATCGCAGACCAAACAGACCAAAGCAGTGAACCAATGTACAGTACTCAATGTTGATCTTTTCCAAAACTCAAAGGAAGATCCTAAAATCTGATAGAAACAGACCAAACTGGATGCTGGATTTCAAACACGAAAGGATGAGGAAAAGTAGTGTTTCCAGTTGAACAAAGAATTTCTTTTCTAAATTCCCCCTCCTGATTTCCAAAATAAACTCTCTTTCTCACTTAGAAACTGATTCTGTTAGGTTTCAGCTTCCCTTTATGTGTGTCTCTCTCAATGTGTATCTGTATCTCCCTTCTATTTCTCTCTTCCTTTCAAAAATCTCTCCCCTCCCTGTGGTTATCCTCTCCTCTTATCAGATCTATCCTATGTCTGTGTGTGTTAATGTGTGTGTCCTCTCTCTCTTATCTTCTATATGTATATATGTGTATCTCCTTTGCTCTCCCTCATCTCTGGTCCCCCTTTGTATCCCTATCTTCCTCCCCTTTTATATCTCCAAATCAGGCTATTTGAACAGCCTGTTAATCAATCAGGTCCCCTCCCATGTGCTGCCCCTTTTCAGTTTCCACTTAGCTAATTAAGTATANGGGGTGCGATGAAGGGTCAGGATCTCTTGGCTGATGGGGGACGGTGTCGTTTCATCTTTAAAGGATTTGGGTCGGTCCGGGTGGAAACGGGTCAGGGTCATCAGTGGGTTATGGGGAAGTGATCTTGGCCGTTGATCATTCAGAGATCAACGGCTCAGATCAGACTCAACCACTACGACGTCGTTTGGACGTCCTTGGTGTCAGCTGGACTGGACTGGGTTGCACAGGGGTTTTGGGTTTGAGTTGGGCCTCGAATTAAAATGAAGTAGGCCCAAAACTGATTTCAGCCTAATTTTGCACTCTCTTTTTATTATTATTGTTTTATTATTGTATATATATTTTTATTTTAAAACAAAACCTAAGTAAATCAAATTAAAATTAAATAGACACTTAATACAATTATTTGCACACACATATTAAAATATTTGAAGCAGGTAAAAATCAAACAAAACAAAAAATCACGGACAAAGATGCCTATTTATGATTTTCTTATTTAACAACCGGATTACGGTTCCAATTACGCATGACACATCATTTTTTTTGTATTTTGTTTTAATAAGATAAAATGGGCAAAAATATCATAAATAATTAACAAAGTGCCATGTAAAATTCAAAAATTGTACAATAGGACGAATTGTTATTATTTTTATTTCTTTTGGAGCGATTGTCGCGTAAAACAAAAATCACGTGCTCACAGGCGTCATGGAAAAGATAAGTTGTACTTACACACTACACAACCTGGTAGCCCTGGGCCATCCACCAGCAAGTGATGTCTACAGAGAAGCATATCTACAGAGAAACAAATAGAGTAACGAACAAGCTAGCAAAGGAAGCACGGAAGTGGACTGAAGAGGGTAGAAATTTTTTGGTAGTTCCTCCTGTGTTTGTCAATGGAACACTATGGGTAGACATCGTAGAAACTATTTTTGAAAGGAAATCAATGGTTTGTAATATTCCTAATATAGCAATAAGCTACTTTTTGTTTGTGGACGCAAACAACGCACCACAAAATATAACTGTAATCGACACTAATTAATTTTCATTTATATTATATCACGGTTGACCAAAAAATAAAAACTTGTGCAGAGGCGGAAGGATTTAACTTGACAGGCAGAGGCGGATCAAGGATTTTAAGAGGATGGGTGCACTGTTATGTTGGTTTTATAAAAATCGAAACATTGCCCTGGTGTGACATTAGTTATACAGATAACAGAGTTATACTCGAAGGAGATGATTTGTTAGGGCCTGACTCTTTTGACATCGGGCGTGGCTGTGGCTGTGACAAGGATTAGGTGTGATGGCCTTGTCATTGGCCTATGTGTGGGCAAAACGGTCATGCGGGCAACAGACAAGACATTGTCATGAGGGCTGTTGTGGGCAAGTATTGGCCAAGGTCTTGGGGCAGGCAAGACATGCTTGGAAAAGGCTTGACAAAGCAGTGTGGGCAAAGTTGAGCGACATGGCATGGCATGCACGCCAAAGTCAGTGGTGCAGGCACTTCGGGTTGTGGCAGCAACAAGTATGGGCTAAGCTAAAATGCGGCAGTGCGGGATGATGGCAAAGACTTTCAATAGCTAAGACAAGGCTATGTGAAGGAAAATACAAGCAATGGCACGAGGGAAACAAAGGTTGACATGGGCAAGGCAGAAACTCGGCCTAGACAATGTGCGGGCGACATTGACGTCGGGTGTGTGCGGCAAAATCAGGGGCGGCGGATTGCGGGCAAGGCATTGGTGCAGAGCAATGTCAAAATGAGCCAAGGCCGGGTGCAATGCCAGCCTTGGGAGTGAATCAACTGGCCAAGTCAAAATGGCACATGCAATGCACATGTCAAAGCAGTTGGCGGTTACCTTTTCATAACCTCTTGTACCCATGACTGATTTATACTTGTATCCATTATAATTTCGTACGTAACATGGCCTAAGTAGTTGGGGATGTCAACTACAAGTTAAGCTATGATTTAGCATAAGCCGACAAGTGGCAAAAGCTGTAGACAACAAGTGTCCATGTGCTGTCAAGTCCTAAAGGCTGCCTATGTGCTATAAATAGGTGCTTTTGGACTTAGTCAGATTTGTGTGTGCAATTTCGTGTGAAATTCTAAGTGGGAAACAAGAGAGAAACGTGAGGGTTTTTAAGTGTTTCAAAAGGGACTAAGGCTAGGCTTGGGCAGGTCTTAGAGTTGGTTAAGAACGACTTGTGTTCTTTGTCAAAAGTGGGGCTGTAGTCGACTTGTGATCATAGTCAAGTGAGAGTTCCTTTGTATATTTTCGAAATTAATATAAGGGTTGTGATTTTTTCGTATTTGCTTGTGTTCTTTCTGATTTGCTGCCAAAAATTCGTTAAGGCCAAACTTGCTAAAAATTTGGCTAAGTATTAAGAAATGTTGAGTCAAGTGCACAACTTGAGTGCCACGCGAATGTAACTTTGGACGGACCAAAAATGCCCCGTGACACGGCCCACAGTGCATTATAATGTTTGACGAAAAGACTACATTGCCGTAGTCGCGTTTGACATGTCCAAAAGGCACATAGTAATTAACGGAAAAACTAGAGTGTCCAAGTCAACCTTTGCAAATACTTGTACTACTATACATGTCCAAACAACAAAGCTACGTTGTCCGAGTCACGTTCTTTGTTTTTGAGTAGTAGACCCACGCAACTCCAGGAGGAGTTGGTAGTTGGGCACTAGGCGCAACTGGGCATGCTTCTGAATCGTAAAAATAGCACGGTATAACTAGTTTTCGGATTGGTCATTCAAAAATAGCCAGTATTTACGAAGTCAATGAAAAATAGCCACTATTTTGCTGTAACAGAGACCGGTCTAGCATAATATACTGAATTTCGGTGCACCTGTGTATGAACTCCAGCATATTATGCTGGACCGATATACTTTGATGACTCCGGTATAATATACTGGAGACTGGAGCACCGGTGCTCCAAACTCCAGTATATTATACTGAACAATTATACTTGCTGGAACTTCAGTATAGAGTTCTAGTGTACTTATGCTGGAACTCCATCATATTATGCTGGAGTTACAACATACTTATCCTGAAACTCCAGTATAATATGCTGGAGTTCAAGCATACTTATGCTGGAACTCCAATATAATATACTGGTGTATTTTCCAGGTTTTGAACAATATTTTTTTTCAAATTTATCTTTACCTAAAAAATGACTAAATNCATACCCACTAGCAAGAACAAGACAACAATTTATTCATCTATATTTTTCTTTCTCTTTTTTTTTTTTTTTTTTTTTTTTTTTTTAATTTCTCACTTGTGAATCTCTCGGAGGAGAGAAATCAGGAGGCCAGACGAGGAACCCCTTTCCTGTGGCAGTCAAGATACTTGTTGAATAAAAACTTAGCCATAATCAGAAGGGAGAGAGCGGCTCCCAACTCTAAGAGGTTCCTTTGGAAAAGCTCTTTCTACCTCCTAATTATGGTAGTTGTGGATTATTCGAGGATCTTACGCGGAGAAGCAACTCTTCTATCTGGCTGAGACCCCCCTCCCCCGGTTCTTCAATACCTATAGATGAAGTGTTTCGTTTCCGCGTGCAGTATGCTCCCGGTTCCGCTCATCCCCTTCGACTCCTCTCACTCTCAGGGATGGATTGAACAGCAGAAGGTGTTGGGTTAAGTCCCGAAACGAGCGCTATACACAAGAATGAATTATGCAGAAGGTAAACTCTTTCCTTCCTGTGGGCAGCCTACGTTCTTCTCTTTCTCCATCTGGGTTTTGCATGTTAATGTCAGAAACAAAATACTCTATGTGAAGGTATTTCATTCTTATATTTCTGTAATTCCCCTGCTTTTGGTCAGTTTATAGTTTCTTGTACAACTGTTCTTTCTTCTTCTTAATGCTACTACCTCTGCCTCAGTTTATGAGCATGATTGCAATGTAGAGTACGTATATTCGAGTTGCATAATTGTGGGAAGTGTTGGGTGTATGTAAACAAATTTCCATAGGAAACCCGTGCGGCCTTTTGGAAATCTGTGTGGGCTTGGCTCAAAGCGTATATATCATACCGTCTTAAAAGTATCTTTGGGCCGTTTTTCTGGTCTCAGAATTAATCATATGGCTAGACGAGTATGGAGATGGCGTAGCATAGCATGGGACCCGGCTTAGTGCCTTTGCCCGTCAGGGGCCAATTTACTTTAAGCCTCTCCCTTGGGGCTTGGGCTTCAGTGACCATACACAACCTCTCCTTTGGGCTACGGTGACCATACACAACCTCTCCTTTGGGCTTCGGTGATCATAGATACTCGGATGATGTGGGTGGCACAAAGTTAATCTCTAAATTAGCCAATGAATTGTGACGGGTCTTGTAGAACTTAGTTTAAGAGGGAGATTGTTGAGTGTGTAGACACAAAGTTCCACATGAAAAGTAGAAAAGAACAAGAAGCTACTTGTAAGGAGATGGATACTCGTAATGGTATGAGGTCTTTTAGGGAAAACCGTATGGGCTTGGCCCTAGCAGTATCACATCGTATTAAGAGTAGTGGCTACAACTTTGCATATCCCAGCAACGAGTTATTATAATGCTAATGGTTTAACATTTTGATTTAAAAGAAAAAGAAATGAAACTAATGGTTCTTCCAGGGCAGGTTCTAAAAGTTCTCTGGTAACTTGCGGAGTAGACTGCTAATATGTCTTGTTTATTGCCTATTTGAGCAAATTTCTGGGCTCTAGCCACAAATGTGCTGCTGGTTTGGTATGTCATAATAATCAATAAGTGGTTCATAGAGGTTGAAATTTACTGAATTTTAGGGGGAAAAGATATTATTGTATAACTGTTCACAGTGTGACCATCCAAATTTGTTCGAGCACTAGACAGTCGCTTATATACATTTAGTGAAACACTAGCATAAATGTCCTAAAAAGGAGAAATCTTTTCTATTCCAAATACAGAAGAACTCTTATTTAAGTTCATTGAACTAAGGGAGCTTATGCGTATTTAATTTTATTGCTTAATATTGTACCAATACGTTGTTCTATTTCTTGCTATCAAAGAGGCCAAAACTTGAGCATGCTTGTTTTTAGAAAGGCCTAATTGATATGATTGATCTACGAGTTATAGGTCCGGCCCAGGAACCGTCTTGATCTTATCTGTTAATTCACGACGTTTCAATCCCAAATTTGGTAAAATCAGTTATAGATCTTCTAAATCCATTCTGCTCTATTTCAGTTTATTTTGTTTCCATACTAGTTGTCTTTTAAGTCAAATTCGGGCTTTTCCCAAATCAGGTTCTTTTATGTAACACTTGTCCGAACGGCTAAAACTAGTGTACGAAGCTCTAGCCAGACTACAAAGATTTTCGGCAGATCGCTGGACCTAAGGTTAAAATGAATAGCTAAATTTTAGTTCTAATTAGGTGTCATTTCTTATATGGTTCCTTTGTTTCTAGTTTATTCTATTCTTAGCTAAATCTTTATTGATTTACAGAGAATTTAATTCTTCTGGAACAATTTTTCTATGCGATTTTAGGTTTATTTCATCTTCCTTTAGCACATTTAATCATTACAATGTTGCACTTACTCATTAATGCAGTTGGATGTCTACTTAGAACATGGTAGAACAGATCTCAGGCTATTATTTATTTTCTATGTGTGCTATTGCATCCTTTGTTCAATGTGATCAATCCTAAACTTGTCTAACACCATATGAAGCATTCTATCTGAATATATCTAATTTTTCAATACTCATCTTGTTTATATGTTGGGTCTAAGATATCCCAACACTCGCTGTCAGACAACATTGTTAGTCTCGCAACCCTTCGATATGCTTACATGTCATTTGTTAGGTATCTTCTGTTCAGAGGCTGATACAAGATTTGAGGTCTATGGGTTCAATCTTAAGATTCTTAACGTTGAACCTATACATTTTTATCTTCAAGTTATGGGTTCATAACTTGAACCACAGTACAAGAGGGATTGCTCTGACGGTAAGCAACCCCAACTTCCAACCAAGAGGTTGTGAGTTCGAGTCACCCCAAGAGCAAGGTGGAGAGTTCTTGGTGGGAAGGATGCCGAGGGTCTATTTGGAAACATCCTCTCTACCCATGGTAGGGGTAAGGTCTGCGTACACACTACCCTCCTCAGACCCCACTAGTGGGATTATACTGGGTTGTTGTTCTTCTTCTTCAAGTTATGGGTTCATATCTACTATTGCTGCAATTATAATAATTTTGTACGCATAAATTTATGCTGCGCATCGAAAGAACCGGGTTCCGGTGAACCCGGTACCTTCATGCTGCATCTGCCCCTACTTCTGCTAACCATTTCGCACGATACACTCATAGTATCCATTTCAATCATCATATTTGATTATGTGTTATGTCTCCATCAATCATGTCATTCTCATAGAGGACTAAGACTAAATACTTAAATTGTTACATTCAGACACAACACCGTAATCGTGTCTAATTTCACTCCGCTCTTCTTGAGGAGCCTAAATTTATAACACATTTGTCCTAATTTATTCTATCAATCCTAAAACTTTTACCCTCGTTAGTGCTACCCTATAGTTTAACTTTTGATTGAGTCTCTTGTTAGTTTTTTCAGGTAACACAAAATCTATCTACAAATAGCATGCACCATAAAATCCCATCCTCTGTACTCTTGTTTAAGTATAAGTTGTTATCCCACAGTTGCAGTAACCCCTCCTGTGATTCCTTTGTTTTTATTTTTTTGGTGTATCATCATCTGCTGTGATTACTGATTCCTCATTTTTGCTTTTTATTTCTTTGGTTGGATGGTATTCCAGTTTTTCTACTGGTGCTTGTGAATTGGAAAATTGGTTTAAGTTATGAAGGATGAGATTTTTATGTGAGTATTGACTTGATGAGAAAGTTTCATTTTTTGAAAGCAGCTTAAGAGAAGCCATTCTCATGAGCCTTTCCATTACCTCGAGCGCAAACATAAACTGGCATTTAAATTCATTTTTGTATATTTTACTTCACTCTCTGACTTTTTCAAAATAATCCTTCTTTTGCTTTTTCCATGAATTATGTGTTTTGTGATGATTCAGGCTTTTGGAACTTTGAGTAAATTTGCTTTGGTATGGAGACACTGATTTTTTGCAATGGCTTGAAATTGGCGTATCTCTGAACATTCTGATGCGTTTGAATGATCCAGCTGATGTGGTCCGTGCTGGTTCCGTTTCACACCTTTGGCTCCAATTTGGTGAGTTGTTTAAGCTTTCAATTTTTATAAATTTTTTCCTGTTAAGTAGCTTTCAATTTTTTAAATTAAAGTAGTTATAGCCTTGTTTAGTGCACTTACTTAGGCAGTGAGTGTAAGACTGAAAAACTGTTCTCTTTTCATCATAATACTACACTCCTAATGATGTTATGTATCACAAGTGATAGGTCATAGGCTGCATCTTCCTATTTCCATTGTGAGACTCTTCTACTCTCCGCCCTATGCTTGCTATACTTAATGCCTAAAAGCTCATAGTTGCTCTTTCTTTATATTCTTCAAATTGTCATAGATATCTAAGTAAATGGCCTTTCTGCATTAACAATATTTTCTACAGTACTACATAGCGACGGTATCTGCTATTTTGTCTTTTCCATGTTTATTGGTTAATCCAAGTTTGAGAAATTCAAGTACGATCTGCTGGTATTAGAATTCTGCAATGATTTAGGTGATCCGCCTAAGACTTAGGTTAAAAGTTGAGAGTACCAACTGATGAACTTTCATCCTCTCAATTTGCTAGTTTTCTGAGATCTGGTGTGGCAGTGAATTTATTCCACCATGCTATAGGTGTCTTGACGTTAGTTATGAGAATCACTTTTCCAATTTGAAAAACGATAGGGTATCAAATATGGTACTATACTGTTTCTTTCTTTCACGCACTTCCAATTCGCGTGAGATGCATTAATGCAATTATCCGGCATGAGTTTGGGGACCCCTTTAGGGGCAAATCACAAGGCAGAGATGTTGTGGGCAAGGGGAGTTAGAGAAGTGCGGGAAGAGATTAGCAAACTGGAAGAAGCAATATTTATACTTGGGTGGAAGATTGGTCCTCATAAACAGTGTGTTGGATGCCCTTCCCACATATACCAAGTCCCTCTTTCCAATGCCAAGAAAGCGGGGAGAAGAATAGATAAGTGAAGGAGGGATTTCCTTTGGCATAAAAACAGATAAAATACGACTTATAACCTGGTGAAATGGAATTTGGTCACCATGTTTTAGAAGGCAAGGGGGTAGAAGTAAGAAATCTTAAGACGCAGATTAGGACTCAGAATAATAGCCTTCTTTTTAAATGGCTATGGAGATTTAATAGAGAAGAAAATGCCATTTGAGAAAGACCATTAAAGAGAAGTTTGGCATGGAGGATCACTGTATCACTAAAAACCCGAATTGTTCTTATAGTGTAGGCAATGGGAAGTACATCAGAAGGTGTGGGATCAATCTTCTGAGCAATTAGGTTCAAGTTAAGGAATGGAAGGGAAATTCTCGTTTGGCAAGATGACAAAGTGGAGTGAAATATAACAAAATGGCTGCTTTTTAGTAACGGAATTCTGCAAAACTTTTGACTGGAGAGAATGGTCAGAGTATTGGTGGCCTTCGATTCAAATATGGATGAATAGAGCTCCTCTTGAAATAGAATGATTTACATTGTTAGTAGCAAGGAATGCATGCTTGAAAAAAAAACAACTGCAGAGAGGTATGCATATATGCAGCAGATACGTTTTATGCCGGGAGAGCTCTGAAGACATGAAACTAAGGAGCTATTGAAGTGCTGAACGGAGGAGGCATAAAAACAGACAATATGGTTGATGATATGGAAGGAGAGATATCAGAGATATATTATGATGGACGACATAGAGCATACACAGATTGAAGCATAGTTGTAATATATTTTTTTAGCTTTTTGGTGCAAGGAAATGAAATATGACATCCTTAACTCCTTAACTGGGCATTGGGCAATAACGGAGTTTAAGCTTATCCTTGAATATAACCTGATCTATCTAGTTGACTGTAGCTTGCTCAGTTTCATCTTGTTTAATAAATTAATTGGTAGTGTTTTTTTGAACTATTTTTGATAAATTACTACTTCCTCCGACCCTTTTTACGTGAAGGTGTTTGACTAGGCACGAAGTTTAAGAAATTAAGATTGACTTTTGACGTATAAGCCAAATATATGCAAAGTACTATAATTATACTTTTAAGCGGGTGGTGGTAAGAGTTACACGTGTCATTTATTTTCTCTCTCCTTTTAAAAGAATGAACTTTTATATAAAGTGGGTCCCAAGTCCCAACAGGTCAGGTCATTAAGGATAAAATGGGATTGTACGGTTAAACAGTTTCTGAAAAGACAAAGGTGATTCGTGGGACAGGCTAAAAAGAGAAATGTGACACATTAAATGAGACTGAGGAGTAATTTGAGACACTGCATTTCATATTGTCCTTTGGTAGCAGGTGGAAACTTAATGACTGTACTTTGGACCGTCGGTGTTCCAAGCTTCATCAGCATCTTCTGGCTTTATGATGTTGCATCAATTTCCTTGGATTTCACAATATTTGATCCAGAAAGTTGATGCTATATTAAGCTTGGATGCCATTGTTTTCTACTTGAACAAATAGATTGATGGTTTACTTATTTACTTGCAGTGGTTACTAATGGACTTTCCAAGCAACTGTGTCTGAGAATGTTTCCGCAGCTTTCTAGAATTTCACATATAAGAGAACTAGATTTGGGAATAGCAGAAGGAAAAGATGTAAAATCTAGCAATTCTAGTTGGGAGACTCTAAAAAGGGACCATAATGTTTATGCTTCTCTACTTCAAGCTATTGAAACATCAAGCTCATGCCCAAGTGATTGCATAGATTATGAAGTCAGCGCTTCAAGTACGGACGATTATCCAGTAAGTGTTTGGAATACTCTGGTTCCAACAGATAGAAACCAAAATCAACCTTCATACTGGTCAAGCATAGGGGACAGTGATCCCAACGCCCCGGAAACACTAATTTACAAATTGAAAGCTGATCTTTGCGTCATCACTGAAATTAATATACAACCTTTGGAAGGTGATTGTTCAGTTTCTTTCACTCTCTCTTATCATTACCTCGGGACATTAGATACCCTCTCGACTATTCACGATCAGACTTACAAAGCTTTTTTTTGCTGCTCTTTTGCTAATACGCAAATGTTTCCAAATCCACTGTATTCCCATCCAGGCAGGGCCAAAATGTTCGATTTCGATTAGGACACCCCAAATCCTCAAGAGATGTGAGGCGTCTCCTGCACTGGCACCCTGATCAAGCTGCTGATGACATGTTTATATGGACTTATACCTCGGAAGAATTCCGTATGAGACAGGTGCGTTATTAACTTACTTTTTCCCAAACACAGACGATCTTATTTACTAGAAATTGTCTTTTTCTTTTTGTTGGTGGAGTAATCTCCACTGGTGGAGGCAAGAATAAGCTTGTTCTCAAGGCGCAAAGTCTTGTCCTAAGTAGGTGGAATAGTTCTCCGCTGATGGGGAGCAGTGTTTTAAAAGGCGGATCCGTGAGGTGAGACGTTTTACCCGGTACGAGGCGAGGCGAAAGCCCTGAGACACGGGGCTTAAATCCCATGGATTTTCAATTTTATAATTTAATAATTTATAAAATAATCTTAAAAATATTTTTATATGTGAAAACTACATTAAAAGTATGTACATACAATAAAAAAGCATAGGAAAATTATTATAATTATTTTATAAGTGAACTAACTAACAAAAATATAAATACTAACTAAGCCACATCCTGACAATAAGGTTATAAGTGATGCCTAATAAACCAAACAATATAAGGACCAACTTAAATTATCATGGCTATAATCTGAGTACCTCATGTGCAACAGCAACACAAATAAATGCCTACTTTGCAGATACAAAGACCACTTAACACTGCCTTTACTCTGCTATTAAACATTAAATAGTAATTTGGTGTAAACAAAATAATTTGGTCTGAGATATACAAGTATCATAATTAAGAGCTCAACTAGAGCTGTCAATATGGGCGGGGCCGGGCTAGCCCAACCCAGCCCACGTGGGCTTTAGCAATTGACGGGCCGGGCTAGCCCACTATTTTGATGAGTTTTATAATGATTTGCCCACCCCAATCCAATGTGGGCTACGGGCCCCCACGGGCCGGCCCATCTTTTTTTAAAATGTAATTTTATATTTTTTCTTTAAGTTCTAACTTAAAAAAGATAAATATTTAAAAGCTAAAAAAATCGTATTGGAAATTTTTTAGAAAATTTAATACTTATATTGTTTCAATATATCACAATAAATACTAAAAAGTAAAAGACAAGACTATATTTCATTCAATAAAAGTCAAAACTCAAAACAAACTATTCAAGAGAATGTCCATGACGCTTAACGCTTATGGGATATCCAACAAATCATCTCCTTGTGAGAAGGTTGTCTTAACATCTTCACTTTCACTTATATTTACAATTTGTATGCAATATTAGTTAGTTAAATATTAAAAATAATTAAATTTTTAAAACTAATTAACGTTTTAAGACTTTGATCTTTTAATATGATGAGCTTAATAAACTTTAAGCTTGGAATACTCTTCTTGATATTTTTTATGTCATATAATTTTGATTTTATATATTTTAAATACATATTTTTATTAGGCCCAACGGGCCATGGGCTTTTTCGGGCCGGGCTTAAAAGCCTCGTTCATAAATGGGCTCCAATAATTCTAGCCCAGCCCTGCTAGATCACGGGCTGGGCTGGCCTAACGAGCCAAACCCATATTGACGACTCTAAGCTCAACCGGTACTTTATCTTTCAAAAAAAAAAACACAAATGCACAAAAGCTATACTATATCAACTTTGTTCCAATATATCAAGCACCTCCCTAAACTCCTAGCAAGACTTCATCACCAGTTTTTAGTCATAGATACAGTTGCTCTATCAATCGCTATAAAAAACGAGGGTCTCATCAATTTCCACATCTTCCAGTCCTTCATCATCCTCGACTCCCACTGATTTTTTTTGTAGATCAAAGGAGAAACAAAAGGTAAAAGTGTTAATATTTTGACATAACAGATGATAACATACAATTTTATAAAAATAGTAGTAGAATACTATAACTTACCTGATGATTTCTGTTTTTTGTTAGAGGGACCCGATTCACTTGTATCTCTTAAACTCCCAACATCAATAAATGATTCTTGTGTAAAATCATTCTCATATGGTGTAAGAGGCACCGTCCTAACAACATCAATATCAAATAAATTCTCTTCATCAAGCCAAGAAGGATCTTCTGGAAGCACAAGATCTTCCTTTTCAGTAATCCATTTATCATCAGAATCAACTTCATCTACTAGAACTGGATCAAACTTTTGCAATTTTCTTTTTATGCTCCTTTCTCTCAATCTAGTATGTACCTCACATAAACGAGAGCATTTAATCTATGATGCTCAAGTCTATTTCTCTTCTTGTATGAATCTAGCAAAAATCAGAAAACTTACATTAAGTTAAGCTATCATAAACAAAAGAACAATAAGAAAATTTATGTAAAAGTATAAACACTTACCGACTCGAAGGTACTCCAATTTCTTTCACAACCCGAGGAGCTGCAAGTGAGACTCAAGACACGAATTGCAAATTTAGTCAACTCTGGAGTTTGCCCGCCAAAGCGTATCCACCAATCCGTAGGAGATCTCACTTTCCTAGAATCCACAACTATCTGACATCCAAAATCCCCTTTCAATTGGTCATATAAATCTAACGGAACATCCTTTTTAAATCTTTCTTCATAATCCAACATTCTTTCCATACATTGGTACAAACTTTGTTTGAGTTCAAAGTTAATAGAAAATATTTCTCAAATCGCAATTGCGGATTCAAATAGTACCCCGCAACATGAAGTGGATGACAGCGTTGGCGAGTCCATCTATCATCAATTCTTTTCCAAATAGGAGCATATTTGTTTTCAGTATATTCACAATTCAAAGCTATTTTTTTTAGCCCTATGTATCAAATCATACAAATATCCTATGCATGGTTTTTCCTCTGAGTCTACTTCCCTCAAAACACTCACTAAAGGGGCAACACTTTACAATAAGCAATATATGGCCAAAACTTTTGATCAAACAGAACTATGGCTCTCGTTTTCACCCCCTCGTGTTTCTTAGCCCAAGTAGATCTAAGAGCTTGTTTTTGCTTTTGAATGCTTTGAAGTGTGAGATATGCTATAGCAAAGAGAGTAACAGCAGGACGAAGAAGTTCATGATTATTTGCAAATGATCTCATTAAATCTAACACCCACGTATGTCCATAAATAAATCTCACCACTTCTTTTGCTTTTTTAAGTGGGTCTTGATGCATTTGCAATTTTCTTATGTCTTCTAATAACAGGTCAATGCAATGCGCTGCACATGGAGTCCAATAAATATGAGGTCTAGTTTCCATTATTCTTTTTCGAGCATTAACAAAATTAGAACCATTATCAGTTATTATCTACTCAACATTCTCTTCTCCAACTTCATCTATGATCTTATTTAAATGCAACGCAAGCATTTCACCACTTTTTATAGAGTCCGATGCATCAATAGATCTAAAAAAAAGGGTACCCGCGGGGCTATTAATTAGAAAGTTGATAAAACATCTACTTTTTCCATCTGTCCAACTATCAGACATAATTGAACAACCATATTGCTTCCAAGATTTCTTATGTTCATCTATGCACACACCCTTAGTGAGTGCGGTTGATATTATTGAAGGATGAATCTTCCCTGGACATGGATCTTGTACAAAGCATTATATACCTGGAGATGAATTTTCTCCACGGGCTGGATTGGCCCTACTCGGTACTGGGTGACTGATGGTCAGTTATGTATATATTCCGGGATGGATCTTCCCTGGGTCGTATGTGCCATATACAATACCGAGTGATTGAGCATTTGAGAGTTGAGCATATGAGGCTATCAACATGGTGCATTACGTGCAACGTGTGCATTGGCATGTAGAAGTAGAGGAGTTATATTCTTCATATCATTTAGATTTGATCTATTTTACTGTTTTGAGTTATCTATTGAACTGAAAGCATGCCTACGTTTCTACACTATTATTTCTATATTGAACTATGCTGGTTGAGTTCGTCACTACCTTTCAGTCTAAAGGTTGGATTTGTTACTTATTGAGTTGGTTGTACTCATGCTACATCCTGCACCTCGTGTGTAGATCCAGGTGCTTCCGGTCACGGCGACTGTTGATTGAGGAGTCAAGATCTCGGAAACTATCGAGGTAGCTGTATGGCGTTCGCAGGTCTTGACTCTCCTTCATTATCTTTATCTGTATTTTAGTTCTTATTCCTTAGACATTGTAGTAGACTGTATTCCGGTATAGATGCTCATGTACTCGGTGACACCCCGGTTTCGGGAGAGATTTGTATTGCGTTGAGAATTTATTTATGTCTTGAAAAGGGTTTTCTTAAATATTAATTGCTTATGTATATATTTTTAAAGCTTTTACTATGTTGAGATAGTTGGGTAGTGGCTTGCCTAGTTCCACGATAGACGTTATCACGATGGTTGCTTTTGGGTCGTGACAAGAATCCTAAAATAATTCACAAAATCAGGAAATAAGTATCAAACACCATTAAAGAGAACAAATTACCTTATATGCTCGCCGCATCTCCCTATCCTGCTCAAATTCAACAAATTCATAACTACGTGAAACACCCGTTACTTGAAAAGCAATCATCTGAGAGAAATTTGCACATGGATATGAGAAAGGATTTGCACATGGTGTTTGTTACCCCTGAGAAAGCGTATGACAAGGTTTCTAAGGAAGTTCTTTGGAGATGCCTGGAGGTGAAAGGTGTGCTGGTAGCTTACATTAGGGCGATAAAGGACATGTATGATGGAGCTAAGACTCGGGTTAGGACTTTAGGTGGTGACTCAGAGCCTTTTCTGGTGATTATGGGGTTACACCAATGATCTGCACTTAGCCCGTTCTTATTTGCCCTGGCGATGGACGCACTGACACACCATATCCAAGGAGAGATGCCATGGTGTATGTTGTTTGCTGATGATATAGTTCTGATTGATGAGACACGAGGCGACGTTAACGAGAGGTTGGATGTTTGGAGATAATCCCTTGGGTCTAAAGGTTTCAAGTTGAGTAGGACTAAGACTGAATATCTGGAGTGCAAGTTCAGCGACATGACGGGGAAAGCAGACTTGAACGTGAGGCTTGAATCACAAGTTATCTCCAAGAGAGGTAGTTTCAAATACCTTGGGAAAATTATACAGGGGGATGGAGAGATAGACGAGGATGTCAGGCATCATATTGGGGTGAGGTGGATGAAATGGAGGTTAGCGTCTCGAGTCATGTTGACAAGAATGTGCCACCGAAACTTAAGGGCAAGTTCTATAGAGCTGTGATGTCACGACCCCAGTTTTCCTCCGTAGGATATCGTGACGACACCTAGTTTCTAAGACTAGGTAAGCCTAACAAATATGCAGAAATAATTGAAATAATAATTTAAAGGCTTAAAACTCAACAACTAATATAAGGAAAATCTCCACAACTCAGTACATATGCAATTTGCCCAAAACTCGGCGAAAATACAAGTCACAAGCTCTATGAAGTGACACTGAATTTGTCGCACTTATGCTTAGACACTTGTCCCACATAGCATACTATTTTAGTCTAGTGTAGTTGACACCCCCCAACTACTAGGATCATGTAAATCATGCTAGTAATAATAGGATCATGCCCCCCAAAACGTGCTAACACTTCTGCCAGCTTTTTAGCAAATCCAACTGCTGCCCATGTGCATAGCATGTGCCGCGTAACCGCTTTTGACTTGGTCAATCTGAAGCATACTGCCCATTTTCGTGCCTTGGCTTGAATCAGGCGCCCATGCCTTGTAATCAGCTGCATTGTAGCCACATTTTGCCTATGCCATTGCCCACGAACATGGCCCTTTGCCGCGCCCCAATGCCATGACAAGTCTGTCCTGCGCACTGCCTTCTGTTGCACTTTAGCCTGCCTTTGCCACTTCATTTTTGCCTTGTCTTGGCATCACTGCTTCATGCCTTGATGCCTTTGCCATGATGAAGTGTCACCCTCATTCGACAACTCATTGTCAAGCCCTTGCCAAGCTGCCTCGGCTCCGTCAAAGCCTTGTCCATCACTTGCCCGTTTCCCTTTTTGCCTTGGTGCTACTCGTGCACCTTAGCTTGGCAACACTCTTGCTGTCCCATGACAACGCTCTCGTTGTCAAGTCAAACTAAAAGTGGCGGAGGTCTAACAGTTACCAAGTCAAGGGGAAGGTGCATGTACCTCAAAATATATGCAATTAATATAATTGTATACAAATTATATGTAAATTGTAGATTTTGACCGTACAAAAATTATATTCAAGTTATAAATAAATTGTATATTTTGTAAAAAAAAAAATAGTTACTTTATGTAAATAAAAAAATCTAGATAAATCGGATAAATCTATGCTATATTAAAAGCACGAAGGCTCTTAGCGAAATATCATTCACCTTTTTTACCCTTTGAAAATATATTTTATATTGGACAAAATAGTAATTTAAAAGTTACTTTCTACATAATTCAAACAAGGAAAGATATAATAAATAAAATTTTAGTTGATTTAGAAGTCCTAAATATTAGAAAGATAAGAAAATTACTATGTTTTTCAATATAAAATATATTTTTAAAAGGTAAAAAAGGTGAATGACATTATATAAATATTATCCAAATTGATAGATAATACATTCGATCCAGAGAGATTCTTGACGACTCATGCTGCAATACACTATCGCGGGCAGCACTATGAGTTGATCCCGTTTGGTTCAGGAAGACGAGCTTGTCCCTCGATGAATTACTCATTGCAAGTGGAACACCTTTCAATTGCTCATATGATCTAAGGTTTCAATTTTACAACTACGACAAACGAGCCTTTGGATATGAAATAAGGTGTGGGTGTAACTTTACCTAAGAAGACAGATGTTGAAGAGCTAATTACACCTTGCATGCCTCCTACGCTTTATCAATATTAAGATGTTTTGTTGTCGCGATTCGTTCTGATTTGTCCCTCAATATTTAAAAAAAAAGATGTTTTATTTTGGTTAAGATTGTTTCACAGATGGTTATTCATCTACTTTACTAATAAGTGATTGTAATCCATAAATAATAAGAAGTTTGAGCCTCTTCATGTTCTTGTTCAAGTTTAATTTCAATTCCTTTTCCATTTTATTATTTTTATATATTTATTTAAACCTTCTTTTTTAATTTAAAAGTAATGCTTATGACCTGTCACGACCCAAAATTCACATACCCACACCCATACTAGTGTCGTGTCGACACGGGTGCGGCACTAAACTGCCATCTCGGAGCAAGTTAGATCAAAACCTTAACCCAGTAACGGTATAATGCTAAATTAACACCGTAAACATGCTTATCTTCACAAGTCAAAAACAAAAATAAATAAGAAAAATGTAAGGACGCCTACAAAGCAAGTAAAATGTGAGACAATCCTCCAATTCTCTTTTATTACTGAAAATGAAGCAGGAACACTTACAGTGGATCACGAAATGGCATGTCATTATTCCTTCTTACCGCCAAGACCGCCTCCTGTAAAAGCGAAAGGATTAAATAGCAAATTAAAGCTTCGGGAAAAAGGATATATATAATCAGACTAACCTAGCCTTCTCGATCGGAATCCAATCGTTGCCTCAACTATAATTTCAGAATCATCAATAAACTTATGGTGAGAATTCTGCAGTATAAATGAATAAAATTATGCCATGACTTTGGTAGAATGTAGAATGAGAAACAGAACCTAGACAAATTCAACAAATTCATAACCAAAGCACCTGTTACTGCAAAAGCAACACCATATATATGAGAGAACTTTACCATGTATATTCTAAATTGAGCAACTTTTCCCTCCGTTAGTCTTTAGGTCTAATATAACCCCACCATCAGGAAACGTTTGTTTTGTCTTTTCCATCTCCAAAATCATTTTTGCGCAATTATATTCTTAGATTTTGGCTACGATATTCATCTTGTAAAGTTGTTGACATGTGAGCAGGAGGTCACAAGTCCGAGCCGTGGAAACAACCTCTTGCAAAAATGCAAGGTAAAGCTGCGTATAATAGACCTTTGTGGTCCGACCTTTCCCAGACCCTTCGGATGACGGAAGCTTAGTGCACTGGGCTGCTCTTTGTTTTATTCATATGGCAAGGGCTACACCAAAATTGTGTATTTAAAATGGATCGGTTCAGTAAGTTTTTCTTCATTCTTTTCTTTATTTAATGCGCCGACTTGTTTCTAATTGGACTTTGGTAAATATCTGCTACTTTTTGTGATAGTTACTTGTTGGATTTTATGTGTCAAGACCCAAAATTCAACTAGTTGTGATGACACCTAACCCAATTTGCTAGTTAAGCCAATTTAACAATAATCCAATTTTAAATGAGATCTACTGAGAAAATAAGGATAATATAGTTGAACTCTTATACAAAGAATCCCCAAGGACTGGTAGTACAAATCATGAGTTTATAAAATTTAGAGTTTACAAACCTAGTATGAAATAAATACTTCTTCTGTTTGAAATGTACATAAACAGATTTTTATAAGTCTAAAGCTACCATGAACAAGAGGCAGCCACCACTGGAAATGCAGGTTCATCTTCACAGTCAGCTTCCGTCATACACAACAATATCAGCTCCAAAATCTGCACGCAAGGTGCAGATGTGTAGTATGAGTACAACCGATCACATTGTCACGACCCTAAACCCGGAC